TGCTGCCCCGTAGGGAACCCGATCATCAGTCTCCTACTCAGGCTACTGTAGTCGCCCAGTTCCGCGACTACCACGCTGAAAAGTTCTCATGGCAGGGAGATCCCCGTATCGTGGACGCGTGGATTCAGAACCTTAGAAAGGGATTAAGTTTAAGAACTCTAGATTCAATTCTAGATTTATTCAAGTCAAGTTAGCAACTTGTCAGGAGAATTGTAAGCACTTGTGCTAAACAAATCTTAATAATCATGTTTCTCAGATATTTTATCGAGAACTGCCATTTTGTCAATCAATTGGCAGACTTCAGGGAGAAATTCCTTGATTTAATTCGAGGAATAGACTCAAATTTCTTAAGTCAGATCAGTAAATCAGGTTCCAGGCAAGAATGTTCATGTTAAAGGTTGTTATAATTTTCAAGTCATTGTTAAGGTAACAGTTTCCAGTGTATAAGAGTCAATAGTCCGGGTTACCGTGGAGGCTCGAAATAATAGCCATTCAGCCGGGTATACCATGAAGGCTTGAAGCTGAAACCGGAGCAGTATGATTTCATGTAATAACAACCTTTCAAGTCAGTCATGTCAGATATTTTATCAGTCATGATATTTCAAGTTATGATTTTCAGAGATCAAGATCAGCTAATTACTTTGTACGTGCGGGACCAGTTGATGCTGGAGCAACCCTATACAGTACAAAGTTATAAATTCATGTTCACGATTTACAGTTTATGTTCATGATGTAAGGTCGACGTATAATAGTTGTTCAGCCGGGTAAAAAGGTGGCGGTCTGATATACAGACCATTAGTCCAGATTTACCTGGAAACTTGAAGTCGTACCTTATCAAGTCAAGAAAGTCAGTAAATATCACGTTCTCAATTCCGAAGCGACTATTTTAGTTGTCTCGGGATAGCTTTCAGCGTTCAGGCAAAGATGATTCAGTCATCTAAGAGTAAACTTATGGTTATTCAGTCATGAGAATATTCAGGCCAGTCATGTCAAGATCGAGAATAGTCTGTCTAGTAAGACAAGACTTATCTATCATTTTCAGTATGTCAGCGCCTCGATTCTCAAATTCTGATGAATCTGAGAAATCGGGGGAGATATTCATTCATGATGAACTTCTTCTTGAGGTTAAGTTTAACCTCGGAAGGAGTAAACAGTTGCAGGTACCACAGGTTGATATACGCCGCGACGAAGAAGGGCCAATCGACAGTAACGGATCGTGCCATGATGACAAACCGACGCTTTCCGCCCAAGGATGCCATGCTTGAATCATAGTACACTGGGAGATTACAGAGGGTTAGTATTAAAAAGTACATTGAGGTTACTAGCTTGAAGTATAGATACGATCAGATTACGTCGACGGCGCAGGTGCAATGTTCGCCAGGTGCTGTATGCAGGCGTGCCGCACTCACTTGATGAGGAGCAGGCGTGCCGCACTCACTTGATGAGGAGCAGGTGTGCCGCGCATTACAATGTGCCGCGAACGATGTGCCGCGTTGTCGAGCAGACATTCATGAAAGGTAATGACCAATATAGCTAGTCATCCTCATTTGTACATATGTGAAGCTCTGGAATCTTCCATGTGTACCTGCGACAGGAGTCTTCACTACCAGCAATCCGATTGGAGATCTGCCAGCAGCCAGGAGATGATGACCAATACGTTTCAGAGTTTCGTTTTGAGATCATGTCTTATCAGTGGAACACTTTCTTTCAGAAAAGTGTCCATTCTCAGTCAGCAGTAT